CTGTACCTACACACTGTTCTAAGAGACCTCTCCCCGCCCCCCAAGACTCGAAATCTGCTCTCACAGAGGAGGTATATCCTAATCGCTGTCTCAGACCCCAACAACACAGCTTCCAACACCTGTCTCTCAAACCCCAGACAGCACAACACATTTCCCGGACCCCTGATGGAGTCCTATGGTCCGCCCCAAATCGCTAGGACCTCCAGCCCTGTAGAGTGGAAATCCTAGTTTGAGAGCCTCCCAGCCCTTCTACACCACTGATTCTGCCTCCCCACCCCCACAGGGCACGGATGTCATCACCCTCCTTAACACCGTCCATCACGACCCCACCCAGTTCCTGACGCCCCGGGAGTTCAACCCTGAACACTTTCTGGATGCCAATCGGTGCTTCACGAAGAGCCCTGCCTTCATGCCCTTCTCTGCTGGTGAGAGCCGGGGCGGGGGGCGGGGGTCAAGAGTCAGAATCTTCCCGGCTCCATATTCCTACTTGCGTTCCCCGGCCCTAAGTCCACGCTCCAAACCCTCTCACTTCTTCATTCCACCCCATCCTCAGCTTTGGATGTGCAGAGACGTTCATTCTCATTCCCACCTCTGCTCCTAGAGGCAGATAATGCCTAAAATCCTTGCGGAGGGAGGTGGCGGGGCAGGCTGATAATTAACTTGGAAGTCGGCCCTGTCAGTCTCTCCACTGGGTGGCGCAGGTGAGGTGGTTCTAGGTTTTCCTGGCTTTGGCCTTTACCGGGCTAAAAAGATCTTTCCCGTTTAACTCAGTCTTGGGCGGGGAAAAAAAGGGGGGGGGGGGGGGTGTTAGGGGGGACGGATAATAATAGGTAGCTTAGCATACTGCCCGCTGTGCGCCAGGTGCCGCCTCTGGAAGAGCTATAAGAGTGGTGGCTAAGAGCTGAGCTGTGCAGCCAGACCCCAGCTCTGTCATCTCCTAGCTGTATGGCCTTGGATCTGTTACTTCACCTCTCTTTGCCTCAATTCCCACATCTACAAAATGGAGATAACAATAAGGCCCACCTCTTGGGGTCGTTATGAAGATTAAACTAACTAATAGCAGTATAATGCTTAGAGTAATGCATGGCACATAGTAAGACCTACATAAGCACTATATTCTCATTGCTTTACCTGCATTTACCACTCACGGCAACCTAATAAGGCAGTATTATTATCCCCACTTTAAGTACCCAGAAATCGTGCTTTCCCAGACCTTTACATAGGTGGATCTGTGCCGTCCTCAACCGTTACCCTCATATGTTTTCCTCCGGAAATTTGGGGGTGGAGCCCCTCGCCCCATCTTATCTCCTGGCTTCTTCTCACCCTCCCACCCGCACAGGACGCCGACAGTGCCTGGGCGAGTCTCTGGCGCGCATGGAGCTCTTCCTCTTTCTCACCGCCATCCTGCAGAGCTTCTCGCTGCAGCCGCTGGGGGCGCCCGAGGACATCGACCTGACGCCGCTCAGCTCTGGTCTCGGCAATTTGCCGCGGCCGTTCCAGCTGCGCCTGCGCGCGCGCTGACGCCCCCGGCCTTCCAGATTCGCCTGCCAGCGAGCAGCCTGTCGTCGAGGGGTTGCTCCCCGCGCCCTGTCTTCTCGTTCCACTGAGCCCTCATCTCTCTCGCTGCCATACTCGCTTCCCCTCCTCTTGTGGCTGCCACGTGCCTATCCTCTATCTCCATCTTTACCGACTCCGCGTCCCCAGAGGCGAGACAGACCTGGGGATGGCGCAGTGCATGCCTTGCTTTACTTAGCCACCAAACTCGTCTGTTGCGCGTCCTTTTTGGGGCCTTTTGTATCATTTCCTAGTAAATTATCTTTACAATAGAGTCAAATCTGCCTTGGCTGAATTAAGGGGAGGAGGACAGTCCCCTAGGATGGGGAGAAGGGAGGTCTGGCTGCAGAGAAAGGAGACATCTCACAGTGACTAGTTCCACCCTCACCCTTAGGGCAGCTAGAAATTGGGAGAAATGGTTTCCTGGAGATAGGCTGGAAGTAAAGGCTGTGAGGCTCTGAAGACAGAGACACAGAGAAAAAGACAGCAGCCCAGAGAGATACCAAACAGGTCTGTAAAAGATACAGGGCCACGTCCAAAGATGGAGATGTAAGCAGGAAAGTGAGAGACCACCAGATATAAACAGACACAGAGACTGAGAAATAGCAATTACACTTACATACTGCTTCCTGTTCACACGCTGTTCTCAATGCCACATTCAAATCTCCCCATGAGGCCCAACAATATTATTATACATTTTTGCAGATGAGCAAACTGAAGCTCAGAGAGGTGAAGTGACTTGACCAAGTTCACACAGCCAGAAACAGGCAGAGCTGAGATCAGAATGCAGAGCATCTGGCTCCAACCCTGCTCCTCTCAGGCTCACAAGTAAGAGACACAAAGGAAAGCAGAGAGATACGGAGACCACAAATGGGGAGACAGAAGAGAAGAGAGACAAGGAAAGAAACAGAAATAGCCAGAGAAAGACAGAGAGGAAGGGCAATGAATGGGAGCAGGGAGGCCCTGGAAGACTGAAACTCTCCTCTTTCTCACCCCTCTCCCAGGACCATTCCTCTGTGGTGCAAGTCCTCCATTCAGTAGGAATAGCAGCCCCAGGCATGGGGCCTCCCAACCTCGAAGTGGACTTGACTCCCTGACATCCTGCTGACAGCAGCTTTTCTCAATGAGCAGGCATCTCAAGCTTCCTTGAGCCAGAGTCAGGCAGGGTGGGTCTGGCCCCCCAGCCATGGGCAGAAGTGGCCTGGGAAGCCCTACCCGGAATGGGGGTTGCCCAGGGGCATCCAGAAGCTGGGACGTGCTGTGCTGAGCATAACCACTGTGGTGAGGCTCACAGGCGTTCCCCACATGGGGCGTTGGCTCCTTAATCCCCATGCTTGCTCGCTCGCTGTTCCCACCTCAGGCCAACTACAGAGTCAGCCCCAGAGCCCAGCCAGGGACGCAGAGGTGGAGGGAGAGAGGGAAAGACTCAGAGGTCCTGAGAAAGAAAGATAGACAGCAAAGAGAAACACATGGAAATACTGAAAAAGAGACAGAAAGATACATAGAGACAGCAGAGAGAGATTCTCAAAGCCAAAGATTGAGCAAGACAGAGGAGGAGAAAGAGGAGTATTGAGAAAAAGGGAGAGACAGAGATGACCAGAGAGAAGGAAAACAAGGAGATTCTAAAACAGAGATAGAAAGGAAGAGAGGAACAGAGATGAAGAGACAGAGATCTGGGAGAAAAAGAAAAAGAGAGCTAGAGAGACAGAAGCTTCAAGAGATGAGACAGAGACAGACAGGAAGAGAGGCTGTCAGAAGGATTGGCAAAAGAGAGAGTGAGAGAAATCAAGTCTGACTTAGAGAGAGACAGAGAAACAGAGAAATCGGGATGAAGAGAGTCATGCAGTCATTCAACAAACATTACTGAGTGCCCACCCTGTGCTGAGTACTATTTTAGGTGCTGGGGATACTCAAGTGAACAAGATAAAATGCCTACTCTTGAAGAGACCCTAATAAAGAGCATCCATCAGAGAGCCTGGCACAGGGGGATGGGGTGGGCCCGAGGAGCGCACGCTTGTTTGTGCCCTGCCGCACCCCTGCTGACTGTGGAGTCAGTGCCTCTGATGAGGGACGCGGCCCCACAGCCCTGCCAGTCACAGGTTCCTGGAAAGAGAAGGGCTGACAGGTAGGGGGAACTGCGACAGAGACACAGACAGAGGCAGCGAGAGGGGGAAGCACAGAGAAAGGAGATTAAGGTAAAGACAAAATGGAGGGAGAGAGAGAGAGAAAACAGACGAACAGAGGCAGACACTGAGAGTGAAACAGAGAGAGAAATGGGACTAGAGAGAGCGACAGAAAGAGAAACACGGTGTTTCCTAATGTCTGAGAGGGAGACGCTGAGAGATGAAACAAAGATAGAGAGAGAGACACTCCCAGAGACAAGCCCAGTGTCAGATTCTGCACAGGTCCTGGCCATCTCCCCAGGTCTGAGCCCTGTGCCAGGCACCCGGTGGAAGGCTGGATCCAGCAAGGCAGGGGCCTGCGGGAGAGTGGGCCCCTGAGCAGTCTGCTCCAGGTGCTGACTCAGCCACATCCCCTACCCCTGGCCCATCCAGGCCTGGGGCTGTCCCCTCCAGCCCACACCCCCAGGGTCAGCAGGAGTGAGGCATAAGTTTGTCCGCCATAATGGCCTGGCTTCAGATGGGCATGCCCACTGAGGGGTTTAGGGGACTGGAGCCCAGGGTGTGCAGCAGCATGGGCATAGGACATTTTGGGGCATCTAGGAGGCAGAGCATTGGGAATAGAGATGGCAAGAGTTCAGGGCAGGGCACAAGTATGGAGATACAAGGGGGTCAACACGTGGGAAGGCATCCAGGAGTCATAAGGATAGGCACTGAAATGCCAGGCTGATGGGCACCAGGAGGCTGGGGGACTCTAGTGAGCCTCTGGGACACAGGTACAGCACACAGGGCTCCAAGAGCAGTGGGCATGGAAGTGACAAGGAAGGGTTCAGGTGCGCGTCCCTAGGGATCACAGGCACAGGGCACAGGAGTACAGGCTAATGGGCACATCACCAGGGGTGTTTTAGAAGTGAGTTTAGGAGTCAGGAGTGTATTTAGGAGTCACAGGGACAGCGTTCAGGGGTCATGGGCCCGGAGGTGGCCAGGAGACTCAGGAATGCACACCTCCAGGCCAGGTAAGGTGGACCCAAAGGTGCCAGGGGCTCAGGACGGTACACCTGTTGGCTAGGTGTATTGACACAGAAATGCTGGTGCGTGAAAGGTGCCAAATAGGACAAGCTGAGGCAGGCACAAAAAAAGCCATGCGGAGCCAGGCCCAGGAGGATTAGGGCTGGGGACAGGGTGGAGGCGTTGGGTTGGGGAATCCAGGGAAGGAGCAGTCGAGGACGCCCACCCCTCCCACTTCCCATGTCCGCCCCTGCTCCACCCAAGACCCCAAGGGAATCAAATAGAGGCAAAGGGGCGCAGGTGTAGAGGATCGAAGGCATGTTGATCGCCGGCATCGCAACGCTGCTGTTGCTGTTCCTGCTCCTGGCGCTAGCCAGGCCGAGTTGGGGTGGGCGCGCCACTCCGATGCAGGGGGCCCTACCGCCCGGGCCCACGCCGCTCCCGCTGCTGGGAAACTTACTGCAGCTGGGGTCCGGCCGCCTGGACCACGCACTCATGGAGGTAGCCCCAACAGTGGGTGGGGGGACAGAATTCTGGATTCGTGGGAGGTGGGGCTGGAGGCTGGAACTCCTGGTTCTCTGAAAGGAGACAGAGCTGAGGGCTCGGACCCCGTGAGTCCTGAGGAAGGTTGAGGAGCCTACAGTCCTGCGTTCCGGGAAAGGAGATTTGCTGGACATCTGGTTGGGAGGGAAGAGAAGGCTGGGGTGGGAAGTCAGATCTCAAAGGAAGAGGGGCCGGAGCTGCTGGTTCACGGTGGAGTCGGTGGAGTCGCGCTGCCCCCCAACCCCCGCCCCCGGGTCCTGAGGGAGGAGGAGCCTGCAACCGGCAGTCAGGTCCAGGGGGAAGGACAGCGGAGGGGTCTGTTCTCCTGGTTCCACGCGGGAGTGGAGAGTACTGAGGGCCCAGACCCCTAGTTCTGAGACTGCTGGGGGCTGGGGACCTGGATTTCCAGATCCTGAGGGAAGAGGGAGCTGGAGGCCCGGACTCCTGGGTCTGAGGGAGGCAGGAGCTGGGGATCTGAACTCCTAGGCATGGAATGAGGGGCTGAGACGGGGACTCCTGGGTCTGTATGAAGGAGGAGGGATCTCTGGGGCGGGGCTCTGGGGTCTCGGCGGAGAAGGGGGTCAGCAGCCCCGACCGGGACCCGCTGAGCACCGGCTCCGTGTAGCTCTCTGGCCGCTGGGGCCCGGTGTTCACGGTGCGGCTGGGCCCGCGCCCTGCGGTGATACTGTGCGGCTACGCAGCGCTGCGGGACGCTTTGGTGCTGCAGGCGGATACCTTCTCCGGCCGCGGGGCCATGACAGTCTTCGAACGCTTCACACGCGGGAACGGTGAGGCTCCAGGACCCGCCACTTTGGGCGACTAAAGGGCGGGGCCCGGTAGAGAATCCCGGCTAATGAGCGCAAACTGCGAGGAGAGGGCGAGGCGGAGCTAAAGCGCAGGGCTCGAATCGGGGGGGCTGGTTCCTCGTGCAGCCAATAGAAAAGAGCCTGAGAGTGAAAGCCAAAGAGAGCAAGCGCTGGTCAGGGATGCGGACCAGCGGAGGTGGGGCCAATGTATGGGCAGGGCCGAGAAGGCTGGGGTGGCAACCAAGAGGTCTGGAAAAGAAGCAGAGCGAAGGGTTGCGAGGAAGTGGGCTCCCGGACGGAACGCTTCCGGGATGGGCGTGGCCAACTCCCCGGGCCGCCCCCTTCTCTGCCCCATCCCCAGGCATCTTGTTTTCTAATGGACAGCGCTGGCGGACGCTGCGCAATTTTGCAGTTGGAGCGCTTAAGGAGTTCGGGTTGGGTACGCGGACTGTCGAGGAGCGCGTCCTGGAGGAAACGGCTTGTCTGCTTGGCGAATTTCAAGCCCTCGCTGATGCGGCCTGGCGGGAAAGGAGAGGGGCCTGGTGTGGGTGTGATCAACGGATGAGAAGGGGACGTGGGAAGTCGCTTGGGTGGAAGGAAGCCAGTAAGCTCAAGAGCTAGCGAGGGGCTGGGCCAAGCGTTATGACCTCATCTATTCTAACTCCCAGGAGCCCCGTTCGACCCCCGGCGGCTACTAGATAATGCTGTATCTAATGTTATCTGTTTCGTGGTCTTCGGGAGCCGCTATGGCTATCAGGACCCGGAGTTCCTGAAGCTCCTGGACCTCTTCAGTGAGAACTTCCGTATCATGAGTTCCAGATGGGGCGAGGTGAGAGGACCGCCCGACCCCTCCGTCGTGTGCCCATCCTATGCCAAACCCCGAGTACACAGACCCACCTACACTGGATCATTAGAATGGGGCGATCTTAGAATCTTGGAATGTTAGAGCTCTGGAACTGATAACATCGCAGTCCTGGTCCAGTCTCATCGTATGGAAACTAGTGGTCTTGTTCAAGGTCCTATTGAGATCCCGTCCCCCGAGATGTACAACATTTTCCCCTCCATCCTGCACTGGCTCCCGGGCCCGCACCACCGAATCTTCCGAAACTTCGCGGAGCTTCGGGTCTTCATCTCCGAGCAAATCCAGCGGCACCGGCAGACGCGGCAGCCGGGGGAGCCCCGCGATTTCATTGATTGCTTTCTGGATCAGATGGATCAGGTGCACGCCCCCGCTGCCCTAAACTCCATCTATGCCTCCCACCAGCAGGCGCCTGGCACGCGGCAGCGCCCGTCTCCTCTGCCCACAGGAACAGAAGGACTCAGAGAGACATTTCCAGGAGGAGACGTTGGTGATGACGACGCACAACCTTTTCTTCGGTGGCACCGAGACCACGAGCAACACCCTGCGCTATGGGCTCCTCATTCTGCTCAAGTACCCAGAGGTGGCAGGTCTGCGAGCTGGAGGGCCAGGGATGAGGGGGCTAGGGTTGGGGCTGGCTGGGGTCCACGGCGGATGCAGCTCACAGCCTGAGCCGGCCCCAGCCAAGGTACAGGCTGAGCTAGACGCCGTGGTGGGTCGGATGCGCGCCCCAAGCCTGGAAGACCGTGGGCGCCTGCCCTACACCAACGCTGTGCTGCACGAGATCCAGCGCTTCATCAGTGTGGTGCCGCTGGGGCTGCCGCGTGCCCTCACCCCCGACACCCACCTGCATGGCCACTTCCTGCCCAAGGTACCCACCAAGCCTGGGGATTCTGTGTGTTGGCGCCGGGAGGGAGCGGCCTACCTATTAGCCGACATCTGCAGGCTTGGGCGTGCACACAGCGCTGACTGACTAGCCCTGGGAGCAAGAAGGGCGGCACTGGCTTTTAAATGGGGTCTTGGATGGATGAAGGATAGTGGCCTGCCAAGTCCCTGAGGAACTCTTGTGTATCCCTCCAGGGCACCTTCGTGATTCCTCTGCTGGTGTCCGCGCACCGGGACCCCACCCAATTCAAGGACCCAGACTCCTTCAACCCCAGGAACTTCTTGAACAATGAGGGCGAGTTCCAGAGCAATGATGCCTTCACGCCCTTTGCCCTAGGTCCGGGCCAGGCAGGGAGGGGAGCAGCCTGGACAGGCCCTGGGGCACATGGGGTTCTCACTCCACATCCCTGTGTCCCCAGGAAAGCGGATGTGCCTGGGCGCAGGCCTGGCCCGATCAGAGATCTTCCTCTTCTTCACTGCCATCCTGCAGCGGTTCTGCCTGCTCCCTGTGGGGAGCCCCACCAACCTCGACCTCACCCCACAGTGCACCAGCCTGGGCAACATGCCCCCAGCCTTCCAGCTCCGCCTGGTGACCCTCTGAGGTCAAGCCTGGCCACCCTCTGCACACTGGCTCTCAGACCTCCTTACCCGCCATGGTCAATAAAGGCCCCGAATGGCAGGCGAAGGGGTCTCCTCACCGAGAGTGGGAGTGGGAGGCAGGGGTGTGCAGCTCTGAGGTAAACTTTTATTTATTTCTTGGCTGACAGGACTTTCACACCCATGCTCCTCCCGGCACCTCTTATCCTGCCCAAGCAGCAGCAGCCTAGTCCAAATGGTGCCATGGCCAAAGGGGTTGGGGAGTCACTTCACATTCCAGGCTGGAGGAGTGGGGGGCTTGGGGATACTCCCCCCACAAACCTTGGCCAGCAAGAGGCCATGACTCAACCCAACCCCAAATCCTACACCTGGTGGGAGGTGGCAATGCCTCCTTCTAGCTCCCCACCCCTGGGACACAGGCCCCAGCTCCAGGAGTGGGAGCCCCCAACACTGGCCCCTGCCCAGGTCAACCCCAGGCCCCATCATGGGGCAGCAGGGGTCTCTCCTCCTCCTTGGTCCTCAGTGACAGACGGAACCCTCCACACCAGGCAGGACAGAGGCAAAGTCGGAAGCAGCAGCGGAGGCGGGGAAGGAGCAGGCACCGAGACTGGCGGGCTGCTGGCCCGGCAGCACAGGGCCTGCGCTCTCCCGAAGTCAGGGCAAGCTGTCTGTCCATGCAGCTCTGGAGCTGGCCACTAGGTGGGTGTAGTCGGCTGTGACACAGGGACTTGGACACCTTTCTGTCCTGATGCTGGGGAAGAGAGGGGGACCAGAGAGAGTGAGTCATCAGGGAAGGGACAAAGAGGCCAAGGAAAACCTGGGAAGATGGGGGAGAGGACCAGAAGAGAGGGCGCTCCTGCTGGAGGTGCAGGAGAGTGGGCTGTCTGGGGAAGGTGGGCAGAGATGAGGAAAAACGAGTGGACGATTTAATAAGAGACTGACGAGGTGGATGAGGTGGCTTGAGGCCTAGTGAGGTACATGGACTAGGAAGGACGTGAGGGAGCAGGACGCTGTTTGGGAAGCACGTACCTAGCAGATACTTGTCTTTGGCTGCTGCTCTCTCCTTGGCATCAAAATACCAGACAGTGATGGCGTACCTGGGGACCAGAGCATCCGCAGGGCGGTTACAGACCACTCTTCTTCATTCCAGGCACTGTATCCACAGTGACGCTAGAGTCCATCAACCCTTCTGAGCCTGGTTCTGTTCCTACCTAGGCTCCCTCTCAGCACTTCGTCACTCCCTAGTCACTCCCGGGGTCTAACAAGACTTTCTTGGCACGGGGGGAAGGGAGGGCACCTGGGCACAACCCCAGAAGTATAGATCGTACCTGGTGGCATAGGCTGGTTTCACCTCATGGGGGTTCCGCCGGTCAGACCAGAAAATGAGCAGGCGGTCAAAGAGGGGCTCGATGTTGGCTACCACGGGCCGGCCCTCAGGGAAGATCTGTAGCAAGCCGCCATGCACCTGAGGGCAGGCCAGAGGGTGAGACTCCTAGGAGGCTGGCTGGGCTCTCTGGAGCCTCCACCCTGCATCGCCTACCCCCAGGGAGCCCAGCAGGAGACACAGGACCCGCACACATCACACCCTCCCACCACTCAGGCTCTTAGGATGAATGACAGCCCAGAGTCCACATCACCATGGAGACAGGCAGGAAGCTACTCAAGAAGACAGAAAATGGAGGGGGGCAGGGAGGAGGGGGAAGGGGGAGCACTGGGTAGACAGCACCATTCCCTGAAGCTGTCACCACAGTCTGCTGGAGAGGAGGTGCCATTTCTCAGAAAGAGAATGCCGTGGACGGCACCGCCCCGCTGTGGGTTGAGAGGAGGAAGGGGAGAACCCTAAATGCTGAGCTGGGAGTGGAAAATGAAGTGGATACAAGCCTCCCCACGCCCACGCCCACCCCCACCCCCTACCTTGATGTCCCAGTTCTGATTCAGGTAATAGATACAGGTGATGCAGCGCCCATCGCCGTGGGGATTGTCAACGTGCCTCACGTACCCCAGCCCATTGCCTGGGTAACACGCCACCATGGCCTGGCAGAGAGGGATGGAGGTGGGTCGACTGGGGTAGCCAAGGACGTTACCTGCTTTCTCACCCACCCCTGCCCCTCATCTCTCCTGACTCAAGTGCCCTGGGCTCCAAGGGCTCCAACCCCAGACCTTCTCCTTTTTCAGCCAAGCCCCCATCCACCAGAAACCTCAGCTCCTGGACCTCAATAGCCCACTCCCCCACCAACACACATGCCCAGGGCCTGGCACCCAGATGGACCTCAGTTTTTGAGGGTTTGCTTTTCTAAAGACAACCTGACCCCACCTCAGACATTTCAGTAGAATGAAGCCAATTTAAACGTCTTCTGGGGCGCAGGGATGTGCCCTCACAGCCTGCACTGCGGGTTCCGCCCTTGGCTGCAGAGTGGAATGCCCTGGGACACTGATGCCCAGGACCACCTTGGCGGTTGGTCTAGGGTGGAGCCTGAAATTTTTCCAGGTTCCCCAGGTCATTCTAACATGCAGCAGTGCTGAGAACCACTGCCCTTAACTACCAAGAATCCCCACTAAATAAATTCTGCCTCCTAAGCAAGTGAACAGGTACCAAAACCTAGAGTGTGGTTAATCTGAGATCTAATCCCAACTCTAGCCCTGGACAGTCCCATCATCGGCACGGACCTCAACTGCCTCCTCTGTAAAATGGGGCTAAAAACACCTGCTCTGTGGACAGCTGTAGCATTAGCCCCTCTGACAACATAACCCACAGGTCTCACAGTACTCATTCCAGGTCCTGGCTCCTGTGGTTACAGATATGGTCACGGGGTTCTCGCCTCCTCTCCCTGATGGCGGCCCTGGCCCTGGCCCTGCCAGCCCTGCCCACACTGAGGCCTGGGCCCAGTGACTCCAGGTCCGTTTCGCATCAGGGAGCCGAGGGAAAGGTGGATGTGGTGTGAGGGAAAGGGCCCAGGCGTTCCTACAGACCTAACTCCCGGGGTCAAGTCTCAGTCCTGCCACATGAGCTGTGATGTCAGGCAGGCGACTTCACTCCCCTGTCTCAGTTCCTCACCCATGAAATGGAGCCGACAGGTACTTCACAGTTGTGGGAACTGAGCAAGATAAAAATTTCTGGAAAGGCACCCAGCATGGTGCCTGCCACATGATGGAGAGCCAAGCACAGGCTGAAATAACATTTTTAAAAAAAGGCCCTGTCCTACCCTGGGCCCAAAGCCACTGGGAGGACTGGATGAGACAAAGAGGGAAGCACCCGCATGAAGACCCTCCCGCTCCTCCCCAGCTGGGGACCATCTGTCTTGACCCCTTGACCCACACTGATGCCAGTCCAGGCTCTGCTGGCTGCTGCTCCCCTCTAATGCTCAGCTACACCTGTGGCCCGCAGCCTGGCAAGACAGCCCTGAGATAAATATTCCCAATCAAAATGATCAGCATTTGCTCCCAAATAGGCTTGCCTGGCACTCTGCGGAGGCCAGCTGACTCGGCCCCTCGGCCTCCTCCCAACACGGTATTCCCAGGGCTCACCCCAGCGTGGACAGCACACCACTCTGCATTAAACATGTGCACTCGACCCTCCACGGAACCTACCCTGGGAAAGGAGGCCAGGAGGGCTGCCACCAGGTAACGCCACCCAGCAGTGGAGAGCCACACTCCTCTCTGGCAGCACCAGGGCAAGACCCTGGCCCCCACCCTCCCAGTCCCGAAGAACCTTCTCTGCACTGCTCACTCCCTAAGGATGGGTCAGCCTCTGAGTAAGCACCTCAACAGGAGGAAAGACCGTGGCTGTGGGCCAGGGTGGGGGTCTGGAATCAGTGAGGCCTTGGTTAGGGACGGGCAAGCCCTCCCCAGTTGGAATCCAAGCAGAGATTCTGCTAGTTCTGCACAAGGACGGGGTGGGGAAAGGGTCCAGCGCTGCAACCTCTTCCCCCAAAATCTATCCCCACACAGCAGCCAGAGACCCTTTGCCCCAGCTCTCCATTGCTCCAATTCCTCAAGTTCCCCACTGCATCCCAAGAAAATACAAATTCCCAACCACAGCCTCCAAAGCCACCAACCTCATCTACTATCCCCATCACTCTGCTCCAGCCTTGAGGGCCTCCTGACTGCTCTCTGACCAGGCCAAGGCCATCCCCAAGCTTCTGCACCTGCCTGGAACTCTTCCCCTGGTCCTCCTGGTTATTCAGGTCTCAGGTCAAGGGGCACCTTGAGTACTCTGGCTGAAGGCACTTGGGCTGATTTTCTACTCCACCTCCTCAATGTGAAATGAGCACAGGGACTTGTTTACCTAGTATTGGCCCTACAGGCGGCCCCACGCAATCCCCTGGGGCCAGGCCTGTCACCTTGGTGCCCAGGTGGCAGCTGCTGACTGCAAGCACTCCTCTGGGTCTCAGGGCCTCTGTTCCATCCTGCCCTGTGCACCCTCACACAGGGTCTCCCACCACACAGGGAGGGACACCCATGGAATGGGACTCATGCATGAAAGCTGGGCACAGAAACAAGCCCTTTAAGGCCCCATCCTTCCTCCTACATACACACACCCTGAGGCGGGGAGCATCCTCTGGCCCCAGAGAGGCATCTACTTCCTGCCCCAACATGGGAAAGGGACAACAAGCAGAGTGACATGGAAACTTGCTCTTCATCCCGCCATCTCAGGGAAGGGGCAGCTGGGATCAGACCCAGGAGACTAAAGAGTTAAAGGCTATTCGGTGACAAGGTGCCAAGAGCCCCATCACACACACAGCCCCAAGTCAGGAGACTGAGCCAATGACAGCAAGCTCCACCTCCACACTCCTCTTAAAAGGGCAAACCAAGCCAGCGAGACCCTCCCTGGGGTCCCCTATGGTAGTCCTTGACACCAGTGGGAGTCAACTCTTTCCCAGCTGCACGTCAACTGAGCAGAGGGACTAGGGAAAGGAGGGAAGACAGGACAACACAGGAGCTCCATTCAGGCTGGGGCCGACCCTAGCCACACTGGGGATCTGTGCCCCACCACCACTGTGGCCACCCACCTCAACGGCCCCCAGTCTTACTTCAGAGCCTGGGGAGGGAGCCCAGACGGCACTCTGTGAAGGTGGGGAAGCCTGGAGC